CAATTTTCCCACTGACCACCGATGTATTGGTTTCAGCAAGGGTTACGAAAGGCTTGAAAATTATTTCAAGGGTTCCTATGATATAAAACAGTTAAGAAAGGCTGCATTCAAACAACCGTAAGAGCTCAATAGCTCGTTCAATACATCCACTGTAGGGCAGCACAGTGGCTAAATGGTTAGCACTTACGCCTGGCAGTATTAGGGTCATTGGTTTGAATCCCAACCATGGCACCACCTACCTGGAGTTTGCATGTTCTCTCTGTGCCTGCGTGGGTTTCCTCCAGGTACTCCGGTTTCCTCCAACACTCCAAAGACATGCTGGTAGGTTAATTGGATCCTGTCTAAATTGGCCCTAGTATGTGTACGTATGAATGTAAGTTAAGGACCTTAGATTGTACACCCCTTGAGGGTTAGGGACTGATGTGAATGTACAATATATATGCAAAGCGCTGCGTAAATTGATGGCACTATAAAAGTACCTGTAATAAATAATAAACAAGCCCACTGGACAAGAAGCATCTATGTATTTAGGGATCAATACTTACCCTTGTTGATTTCTACATGAACTTCCTCCACTTTAATCAGCACCTGTCCTTCTTCATCCTCCTCAGCTTTGATGTCTCTCTGAGTGTCTCCAGGGTCTGTGAATGAAGATGATGAGAGTGAAGCCCCCTGTACTGAAATGTATGAGAGACCCCAGAGAGTATGTGTGGGGGGGGAGACTGGTCACATCTCTTGGCTGGTAATAAATTCATGTACCTGTTTCTGAATTTGTGAGGGGTGGCTGGCTCTCCATCAAGAGGTCCTTCTTCTGATTCTTGAACTCAAACTTTTCACTTGGCCTGCAAAGTTCTGTCAGATGTCTGTGCTCAGGAAGATAACTCCATGATGTATGAGAGACCCCAGAGAGTGCGTGTGGGGGGGAGACTGGTCACGTCTCAAAGACATGATGTGAGGTGGAGAACCAGAATCTAATAGATGCTGATGGCTCCTGACCCCCCCACTGGGCACATACTGTCCCCCCATTACTGTCTACTGACTTTTGTTGTTTATTGTTTCTGATCATGCTCAGCCTTTTCTATCCGATTTCTCTTGTACAAAAACAGTACACAATAAACGAAAATAGTTAGTCCTGTTCTCGTACGAGAAAAATTTTGGAGTTTGTCCTTTCTGAAATTTTAATTTGGAAAGTCCGAATCGGGTGTCTAAAGTTGTGTACACACTATAAGAAAATCGAGCGATCGTGCCTCGTACGGATTTGCTTTTACGATTTTCTCATAGTTTGTACCACACTTTACTCTAAACAGCAGCTGCCTGTGTCTAAGACCCAACCAACAGCAGGACCAACAGCTCCAGTGCTTTCGGTGTGCGGAGGTTGTCAGGCTAGCTGCTGCACCACAAATGCTCTGAAGGTTTGGACCCCCTTATCTATGCCCCATTCCCATTACTATCTACTGACAGAGGAGGGGGGAGAAGAAGAGATTGTTGTAGTGACTTAACAGGGAGGATCTGGGACTCTTCTCTGGATTTAGTGTTTATTACTCACCTGTGCTGATCTCTGGAGGAAGTTCCTTATCCGTATATGACTCCTCACCCATCACATACATCTCTTCTTTATCTTCTTCTTTCACCTTAACTTTAATATAAATCAATTTTTCACCCTGAACAACAAAAAAATATGTTTTATTTGCAATGCAACTTTACAATATTACTCATAACAAAGCCTCTTCATACACCTACCTGATCCTCCTGAGGGATCTCCTGATCCTCCTGAGGGATCTCCTGATGTTCCTGTGTGGAGTCCCGGGAATATCTCTTTGGTGGGTTCCCATTACTGGATCCATCTGTAGGAAACACACACACTGACTGAATACATTGTTTTTATGTCTTTATATCAGAGGATGTGTGTATCTAGGTGGATCCTCAATACTCTTCTTTCCTTTACAAGAAATGAAAGTCTCCTCTTACCCGGTGATGTGAGGGGCGGCCGGGCCCTCCATCATGACATTCTTCTACAGATCCTTGTGTCCTTCTATATACTCCCACTCCTCTATTGTTTCTATATTTTTATATCAGAGGATGTGTGTATCTAGGTGGATCCTCAATACAAGAAATGAAAGTCTGCTCTTACCCGGTGATGTAAGAAGCGGTTGGCTCGCCATCATGCCGTCCTACAGATCCTTGTGTCCTCCTACATTATCTTGAAACTCAACATGTATGAGCCTGAACTTAGAGTTAAGGTTGGCTACTAAGGTTTATACATCTCAATTCCATTAACATTCCATGGGATACATGCAGGTGCACTACTACTACCTAATGCAGTGCTGCCCAACTAATGTTCTACACATCAGAGGACTTTCAGGAAGATGAGGATGTGTGGAGGTGACATGATCCCACCATCCAGTCCACACACAGTGCCTTCTCTCATAATAAAAAGACATTATTATCTCCCCATGGAGCACACACTCTCCAGCCACACATCCCTACCAGCAACATTTTCACACTACCACACTTGTTCCCCTTCCCTCTGGTCTACAACAAAATGGCTCCTACTTTCAGTCACGCTCTCTCTATATCGCTTGATATAAACAAAAAATTTGCAAGTAGTGATTAGTTTTTTACAAAAGACTGTATACTAATTTAAATGGTGAATTATTATTGATTTTTAGCCTTGTGTGGACTACAAGAAAATGGCCGCTGCTCCTCTGAATGGAAAAACTATTCTGTAGTAGTTTTCCCTCTAGCGGCCGTTCTAAATACAATGTTATACCTGCGTGCGCTCCCCGGCTGCACAGCTGTTGTTCGGTTGCTGTGGTGACGCGCGTGCGCAAAGTGAACTACCAGGCGGGGACTGAGAGGCTGGCGGCCATCTTCTTGTAGCTCAAAAGTGGAAATCAGAAAAGGGAGAGTTTTCTTCTCCTTCCGACAGCTGCTGCAGCTGCGAGGCCGGAGGGTGTCAGCCCAGGGAGGAGGAGGAGGTAATAATAAAAATATTGTTATTATGAGAGAAGGGGGTCCCGGGACCGGATGGGGGGATCATGTCACCCCAATAAATCCTCATCTTCCTGCAACTCCTCTGGTGTGTAGAATATTAGATTGGGGGGATCTGCTGGGGCTGTGATCTCTGAAAACTGCAATCTGCTTCATTCAGAAATATACCCACCATCGAATGAATGCAACTGCTTGCGACTCTGGCAGTTGGGAGGTAAAGGGCATCCATGATATTTGCTGCATGGGGATTCGAAAATCAGTCTGTTATTGCAGTATTTCATGGAAGGCAAGATTTTCATTGGTTGGGAACATCTGGGGCATACAGAGAGTCTCCCTGGTGCAGTATGTCCTATTCTCAGGGTCGTGTAACCATTGGGTTCATTGTAAGGCCAACTGATCATCATGACTACTATAAGACCAACCAACCATCACACCTGCCGTAAGGCCAACTGACCAACACCCGTGCCGTAAGGCCAACTGACCAACACCCGTGCCGTAAGGCCAACTGACCAACACCCGTGTCGTAAGGCCAACTGACCAACACCCGTGCCGTAAGGCCAACTGACCAACACCCCTGCCGTAAGGCCAACTGACCAACACCCCTGCCGTAAGGCCAACTGACCAACACCCCTGCCGTAAGGCCAACTGACCAACACCCCTGCCGTAAGGCCAACTGACCAACACCCCTGCCGTAAGGCCAACCGACCTACACACCTTCTATACGATCAACCGACCATCATGCCTACAGCATTGCCAACCGATCAAAACACCTGTATGGCTAACTGACCACTGTACTATTCAAAGGGATTGTGTAACCATTGGGTTCACTGCCAGGTCAACTGACGAACACGCCTACTGTCTGGCCAACTGACCATCACACCTACTGTATGGCCAACTGACCAACACACCTACTGTATGGCCAACCGACCAACACACCTACTGTACTGTTCAAAAGGATTGTGTAGCCTTTGGGTTCAGTGCAAGGCCAACTGACCAACACACCTATTGTAAGGCAACTGACCAACACGCCTACTGTATGGCCAACTGACCAACACACCTACTATATGGCCAAGTGACCAACATACCTATTGTATGGCCAACTCGCCAACATACCTATTGTTTGGTCAACCGACTGTCAAACCTACTGTAAGGCAAACAACCAACACACCTACTGTATGGCCAACCGACCAACACACCTACTGTATGGCCAACCGACCATCACACCTACTGTATGACTACAACTATGTACACACTCTTCCAAATGATTGGTGTTTACAGTGAAGGTTTTTTTTTAACGCAGCATCATGGATCTGTAAAACAGCAGCACATTTTGACTGGGGGCCAGGGAACACATACAATTAGCATGCATTCCCCAACCCATATATGTGTCAACCTAGCCTAAAGACTCATGTGTGATTACTAGATTGCTTACTTTAACACACCCATTCAGTGGTAAGCAATGCTTAGATTGATCCTAAGCAAGGAAGTGGAATCAGATTTCATGGGGAAATGACCCGTACCGCATGTTATTGTATTTGAAAAAAAAATTTCACATATCGGCTACAGATGAGTGCGGAGGACGCCTACGCTAATCTCCAATGTTCATGAGTAATCAAACCCATCACGAACCAAGAGCCAAGTCATTGACTTTTGGTGGAACAAGGAAAGGAATATTTTTCACGAAGGTGGCCATGAAAGCAAAACACATTTAAGAAACAATATGTATCTTCTAAGTCCTGTATTCACAACTATCCTGCTATGACCAATGGTAATGAGTCCTGTGTATCATGAAACATTTTACATTTTATTATTGTAATGGACTTCTGCTTTAAGTAGTTTTGATCTTTTTGTGTGCAGCTTTACCATTCCAAACCAACATATATTGTGTGCACATGCTAAGGCATATAAAGTAGTCAGGAGTAATTAGAAGGACACAAGGATCTGTAGAAGAACGTCATAATGGAGAACCGGCCGCCCCTCACATCACCGGGTAAGAGCAGACTTTCATTTCTTGTATTGAGGATCCACCTAGATACACACATCCTCTGATATAAAGTCATAGAAACAATGTATTCAGTCAATGTGTGTGTTTCCTACAGGTGGATCCAGTAATGGGAACCCACCAGAGAGATATCCCCGTCCTCTGGATTCCTGGGACTCCATACAGGAACATCAGGAGATCCCTCAGGAGGATCAGGTAGGCAAAACTAAAGATCATAGGTGCAGTTATTTTGGCCATATTTAAGGCATATAGACTAATAAAGCTTTGTGGTATTGTAAGTGGATCTATTGTTAAAAGTGTTATGACATATTGTCGATCTGACTTAGGTTGAAGGTCTGATCGTTGTTAAAATTGAAGATGAAGCACCATATGTGAAGGTCAATGAGTTGTATATGGAGGAGGAGATCCCTCCAGAGATCAGCACAGGTGAGGAATAAACACTAAATCCTGAGAAGAGTCCCAGATCCTCCTTGTTCAGTCACTACAACAATCTCTTCTTCTCCCCCCTCCTCTGTCAGTAGACAGTAATGGGGGACAGTATGTGCCCAGTGGGGGGGTCAGGAGCCATCAGCCTCTATTAGACTCCGCCTCTCCTCACATTATGTCATTGAGATGTGACCAGTCTCCCCCCCACACACACTCTCTGGGGTCTCTCATACATCAGTACAGGGGCTTCACTCTCATCTTTATTCACAGACCCCGGAGACACCAGAGAGACTCAGAGAGACATCAAAGCTGAGGAGGAGGAAGAAGGACGTGTAAGGATTAAAGAGGAGGAGATTCCTGTAAAGATAAGCACATGTGAGGGGAAAAAACACTAAATCCAAAAAGAGTCCAAGATTCCCCTTGTTTAGTTACTACTTATTTGTACAGAATTCTGAAGAGATCATTTTCATTCACAGACCCTGAAGACACCAGAGAGATTCAGAGAAAAATCAAAGTTGAGAAGGAAGAAGGACATGTGAGGATTAAAGAGGAGGAAGTTCCTATGGAGATTTGGGCAGGTGACTAATAAAAATGCAACACATTTAATTGCAGTCTCCCATGAGTGAAAAATCTGGTGCAACTCTGCATGGAAACCAATCAGCTTCCAGGTTTATTGCCAAATCGTAAAGTGTTACTAAACCCCCGACCCCACATTCACTATATCCGGTCTCCCCGGACCCCACATTCACTATATCTACTCTCCCCGGACCCCGCATTCACTATATCCGCTCTCCCCGACCCCTGCATTCACTATATCTGGTCTCCCCGGACCCTGCATTCACTATATCTGGTCTCCCAGGACCCTGCATTCACTATATCTGGTCTCCCCGGACCCTGCATTCACTATATCCGCTCTCCCCGGACCCTGCATTCACTATATCCGCTCTCCCCGGACCCCGCATTCACTATATCCGCTCTCCCCGGACCCCGCATTCACTATATCCGCTCTCCCCCGGACCCCGCATTCACTATATCCGCTCTCCCCGGACCCCGCATTCACTATATCCGGTCTCCCCGGACCCGCATTCACTATATCCGCTCTCCCCGGACCCCGCATTCACTATATCCGCTCTCCCCGACCCCTGCATTCACTATATCTGGTCTCCCCCGGACCCTGCATTCACTATATCTGGTCTCCCAGGACCCTGCATTCACTATATCTGGTCTCCCCCGGACCCTGCATTCACTATATCCGCTCTCCCCGGACCCTGCATTCACTATATCCGCTCTCCCCGGACCCTGCATTCACTATATCCGGTCTCCCCGGACCCCGCATTCACTATATCCGCTCTCCCCGGACCCCGCATTCACTATATCCGCTCTCCCCGGACCCCGCATTCACTATATCCGCTCTCCCCCGGACCCCGCATTCACTATATCCGCTCTCCCCGGACCCCGCATTCACTATATCCGCTCTCCCCCGGACCCCGCATTCACTATATCCGCTCTCCCCGGACCCCGCATTCACTATATCCGCTCTCCCCGGACCCCGCATTCACTATATCCGCTCTCTCCCCCCGGACCCCGCATTCACTATATCCGCTCTCCCCGGACCCCGCATTCACTATATCCGCTCTCCCCGGACCCCGCATTCACTATATCCTCTCTCCCCGGACCCCGCATTCACTATATCCGCTCTCCCCGGACCCCGCATTCACTATATCCGCTCTCCCCGGACCCCGCATTCACTATATCCGCTCTCCCCGGACCCCGCATTCACTATATCCGCTCTCCCCGGACCCCGCATTCACTATATCCGCTCTCCCCGGACCCCGCATTCACTATATCCGCTCTCCCCGGACCCCGCATTCACTATATCCGGTCTCCCTGGACCTTGCATTCACTATATCCGGTCTCCCTGGACCCTGCAGTCACTATATCCGGTCTCCCCCGGACCCTGCATTCAGTATATCTGGTCTCCCCGGACCCTGCAGTCACTATATCTGGTTTCCCACAGTACACACAACATGATAAACAATTATTTTAGTAAATATAAACTTCTAAATCCCTTTTCTCTTCAGCAGTATATAGCAGTCTTGTGACTTCTATCATTGTCCAGCAGAGCACTGGTTTAAAACTTGTAGGAGGAGTTTTCATTCTCCTCTGACTGTCCTATAAGCCTGCATAACCCTTGACCCTCTGTCTAGACAGCGCTGATTGGCCCTGTGCTGATCGCATGTGCTCTCCTAGGGGAAAAAAAAACTTCAAGCAATACACACCAAACTGAGCGTGTGCAGCTTGCCTCCAAGGCTTTGTTCTATCAGCAGATGGATTGGGGACAGTAGAAGAAGGGAAGGATCAGGGAAGACAGGATCATACACAATGCAGAGGATTAACCCCTTAGGTTCCACAGTGAGTATAATAAGCATGCTTTACTGCATATACAGAGCAATTGTACTGCTGTGGGTTTAGTAACACTTTAATTGAACAAGCTGAAGTTAGAAGCTGATTGGCTCCCATGCAGAGATGCACCAGATTCTAGGTGCTCCGGTTTTAGTAAATCTTCCCCCACAGTGACAACGCACAATTTGTTTTACCGAAAGTCTGACAAAGGAGCCCTTTGGAGTTCTCACGCCGAACAGCCGAACCAGAGCTAGTGAACTCCATGAAACAGATTTGACCCTGGCAATATGGAAGCCCAGTAATGATCGATCCGGCGCCTCATTCATATATTATACTCAGGCAAGCCTTGCAGCATCTCAGAGGAGACTTGTTATTTGGGTCTCAACATCCGTTCTGGGTTGGCCTCTCAACAGAACCAAACCGACAATGAGCAAGGAAAAGATGCCGTAAGATACACCAGGAAGGTTTGAATGGTTTGCAGGTCTTTCCTCCCAAGGGTTTGTCTAATCTTTATTCAGCATTGCCCTCGCTCTAACGTTCATGGTGATACCTCACATGTGTGGTGTGAACACTGTTTACGTATGTGTGCGCAACTTATGAATGCGTTCGCTTCTGTGCACGAGCATGGACGGATGGGGGGGGTGGCGCTTTAATTTTTTTCCCCCCTTATTTTTTTTACACTGTCCCTTTTAATTCCCCCCCCCCCTTTTTTTTTTTTTTTTTTTTTTTAACACCATCCGTTTAATTTTTTTCCCTTGTTTATTTATTTTTACACCGTCCCTTTAGTTTTTTTTTCCCCCTTATTTATTTATTTTTAGCCTTAGTTTCCCTATTCCCAAGTTTAATGGGAATCTTAATGGAGCTTGAAGATATTTACTTTGGTGCCCTCCATATGAGTGACATGCCTGGATTTCCATGTCATGATGGCTACCTTTATATTGACAGTTCCCACATCATCCTAGTCCTTCATGTTGTTTGGAGTGGAGGAGGCCAGTATAGCCACTTAGCCGCTTCCCGTCCGCCCTATAGCAGAAATACGTGCGAGGGGGGGGGGGGGGGGCGCGTGAGCCGCCATTCGTGGCCCCGGCTGTCAATCACCGGTCCCGGCCAGTGATTACCCGCTGGCATGATTATAGCACAAAATATAAAAAACGCACAGGCGATCAAATACCATCGAAAGAAAGCTCCATTTGTGGGGGAAAAAGGACTCATTTGAGTGCAGCGTTGCATGACTGCACAATTGTCAGTTGCTGTATCGCAAAAAATGTCCTGGTCAGGAAGGGGGGAAATCCTCAGGAGGGGAAGGGGTTAAAAATCTCCATAGGTATGCTTACATTGCGGTTTCTAGGTGGTACACCGGGGCAATGGATAAAGTTTTCAGCCATTCCCCGTGATTTTTTTTTTTTTTAGTAGTCATTTCTCTTTCTGATAAAAGTGATCAGAGCAGCTGATTAGCCGCTGGATCACTTTTAGAAGCAGCTGGAAGGGATACGCCCCCCTCCCCACTGCTCACCAGTGTTACCCGGGCTTACCATTCTCACCGGCAATCACCGGACCAGATCGTCTTTTCTCACCTCTATAATCTAGGAGGACCAGGATGACATCCGGTCCGGGTGGATGTAAACAACTTTTTTTTTTTTTTTTAATATTTTATTAGTTCACATCAATAAATAAGCACATAATTCAAATACAAAAAAACTTTTCATTAAACAATTCTCTCCCCAAAACCTCTTCCCCGCCCCTTCCCAACCTCCCTCCCCCCACCCCTTTCCATGCACCCCTTCCCAACCTCTCCTTTCCCCCCCCCCCACCCCTTCCCAACCTCTCCCTCCCATTCCCAACCATTCCCCCCTTCCCAACCTCTCCTTCCCCCCACCCATTCCCAACCATCCCTTCCCGACCTCCCCTCCCCTTCCCCCCCCCCACCCCTTCCCAACCAACGCTTCCCAACCTCTCCCCCCCCCCCCCCCCACCCCTTCCCAACCTCTCCTCCCCCCCCCCCCCCACCCCCCACCCCTTCCCAACCTCTCCTCCCCCCCACTCATTCCCAACCTACCCTCCCCCCCACTCATTCCCAACCCTCCCCCCCCCCCCCCCACCCATTCCCATCCTCCCCTTCCCAACCTCCCCTTCCCCCCACCCGTTCCCTTCCCTCCCCCCACCCCTTCCCAACCAACGCTTCCCAACCTCTCCTCCTCCCCCACCCCTTCCCAACCTCTCCTCCCCCCCCACTCATTCCCAACCTACCCTTCCCCCCCCCCCCCAACCAACCATCCCATCCTCTCCTTCCCAACCTCCCCCCTTCCCCCCCACCCATTCCCAACCTCCCCTTCCCCCCCACCCATTCCCAACCTCCCCTTCCCCCCCCCCCACCCGTTCCCAACCTCCCCTTCCCACCCCAAACCCCATCTTCCTCCATGCTCTCTTCTTTTCAGCACCCAGTTCCTCTTTTATTTCCAGAATACTCTCAGAACTTCTTTCTTCCTAGTCTACTTATCCCTTTCTTCTTTCTTCATTTCCTCCTCCTTCTTTATCTCTTCCATTATAAGGTGTTCTATTCACCTCCCATTTTCTCCGAAATTTCACCATTGTATCCTCTTCCATGTGGTGGAGTTCCTCCATCTACTCTACTGATCCGGTCCTTTGTTTTCGGTGCTTCTTGTTCTTCCATGATGTAGGTAGATATGATTCATTTTAACAAGACCATATGTCTATTTCTTACAGGTGGAGGAAATATACCAGAGAGATGTCCTGGCCCCCTGTATTCTTGGGGTCCCACACAAGAACATCACAGGATCCCTCAGGATGATCAGGTAGATAGAAACATTCATGGAATCTAATGGAGAAGGAAATAAGGATTCTTGGCGATCAGACCTACTATCACTATACTGTAAGGGGCGGAACAGTGGTTAGCACTTCCGCCTGGCAGCACTGGGGTCATTGGTTCGAATCCCAACCACGGCACCACCTGCCTGGAGTTTGCATGTTCTCTCTGTGCCTGCGTGGGTTTGCTCCGGGTACTCCGGTTTCCTCCCATGTTCCAAAGACATGCTGGTAGGTGTATTGGCTCCTGTCTAAATTGTCCCTAATATGTGTATGTATGAATGTGAGTTAGGAACATTAGACTGTACACCCCTTGAGGGTTAGGGACTGATGTGAATGTACAGCGCTGCGCAAATTGACGGCGCTATATAAGTACCTGAAATAAATAAATGTTGAAAAAGGCTTCTTTCCCCACCATTGATGGTTAAAAAAAAAAGAATTAATTTCCTCTGCCCCTCTAAAAACTCACTTATAAGTTCAGGAAAAAAGCTTCAGCTTTTAGATAAAATCTGGGGACATCGGGTGCAAAAAAATATTAAAGAAAGCCGTATCTGTTTCGAAAAAAAAAAAAATGATATATGTATTGCTGTGCTGTCATTTGTGATTACAACGTTGTGGCCGAATCAAGAGGCCTATAGCTAGTGATACACCGACATATCGGCCACTGAAAATCATCAGCCGAAAATAGGGTTGTCAGCAGTTTACCGACAGAAAAAAAAAAAGTGCTAATAATAATGCCAATGTTTGGGTTCAGGCAGAGCTACGTGTTCACTATTCTGTGAATGAGAAAACTGCAAGTCCCAACCTCCTTAGTGGCTATCGGCTTGTAGTTCTCAATGAAATACCAGAGCGCTGTGGTAGTTCAATGATTCTTCACTGTCACAGTGTATCGGCTTGCTTGTATGGGGAATGTACAGGCAAGCAGGTCTGCAGGAATCCTGCATGGCACCAGCAATCTGCTGATTGCCGGTGAAATGGTTTCCAGGCTCCTGCAACAAAAAATTGATAAATGCACTTTTTTTTTTTTTTTTTATATCTGCAAACAAATGTGCATTTCTTATTTTTTTCATCAAAAGGTAAACTTATCCTTTAAATTATTGCAGTGTGTGTGTGTGTGTGTGTGTATATATATCAAAAAAACAATAATAGTATTTTATTTTATATATTTTGTGTGATAAATATATATATATATATATATATATATATATATATATATATATATATTCACACAAAATATATAAAATAAAATACTATTATTGTTTTTTGATATATATATAATAAAATACTAGTGTGTGTGTGTGTGTGTGTGTGTGTGTGTGTGTGCGTGCGTGCGTGCGTGCGCGCTAGATTTTTTTTTAAACTGTCCATTTCAGTTTTCGGCCCAATGCATCCTGACTTGTTTTCAGGCAGGAATTTTCATTTCTGTGCACCACTACCTATAGCAGCAGTGTAAAGGGTGCTCAGGTCTATATGGGGAGTGTAGATGCTGCAGAGGCTAATATGACTTTGAAACTTTATTCTAACCATTTGTATGATTTTGTGTTATTCAGAGGGAAAATTTGGTCAAAGTTGAAGTCAAAGAGGAACCAGAAGAAACATTTGTGGACTGTGATGAGCCTCCAGAGATCGGTACAGGTGAGTGAAAAAAACACTAAATCCAGAATGTAATAAAAGTTATTGTGATTGTTGCTTTGAAATTCTCTTATCATTTAGACCCCCCTAGTCAAGTCTGCCTGTTCGTTTTTCAAGTGTACCTGATCAGACCCTGCATTCACCCCTATTAACCGGACGGTGTAAATGGACTTGTGCCTGTTTATACATGCCTACCTACAATCCAATCCAGTCCACAGAAAAACAGGAGGGCATTCACTATATCCGCTCTCCCCAGACCCCGCATTCACTATATCCGCTCTCCCAGGACCCCGCATTAACTATATCCGCTCTCCCAGGACCCCGCATTCACTATATCCGCTCTCCCAGGACCCCGCATTCACTATATCTGGTCTCCCAGGACCCCGCATTCACTATATCCGCTCTCCCAGGACCCCGCATTCACTATATCCGCTCTCCCCAGACCCCGCATTCACTATATCCGCTCTCCCAGGACCCTGCATTAACTATATCCGCTCTCCCAGGACCCCGCATTCACTATATCCGCTCTCCCAGGACCCGCATTCACTATATCCGCTCTCCCAGGACCCCGCATTCACTATATCCGCTCTCCCAGGACCCCGCATTCACTATATCCGCTCTCCCCAGACCCCGCATTCACTATATCCGCTCTCCCCAGACCCCGCATTCACTATATCCCTCTCCCCGGACCCCGCATTCACTATATCCGCTCTCCCAGGACCCCGCATTCACTATATCCGCTCTCCCCAGACCCCGCATTCACTATATCCGCTATCCCCAGACCCCGCATTCACTATATCCGCTCTCCCCGGACCCTGCATTAACTATATCCGCTCTCCCCGGACCCTGCATTCACTATATCCGCTCTCTCCGGACCCCGCATTCACTATATCCACTCTCTCCGGACCCCGCATTCACTATATCCACTCTCTCCGGACCCCGCATTCACTATATCCGCTCTCCCCGGACCCTGCATTCACTATATCCGCTCTCCCCGGACCCTGCATTCACTATATCCGCTCTCCCCGGACCCTGCATTCACTATATCCGCACTCACACTGACACGCTGCAGTTTACATGCACCATGGTTCCAGCACAGTGCACTTGCGGCTTTCCTGCAGCTTAGCTGTGCTTTCCCATAGACTTGTGGCAATCTTGTATCCTGTGGGTGTGGTGCACTTTCTGAAAGCCCAGAACTCGATCAGTGGGCTGCTGACCCTGGACATGCACATGCCTGATTTGAGGTCGCGGGCCACATCAGAGGACTTCGTGGGCAACAGGATGAGCACCCCTGGCGTAGCCTATAGACAATACAGGGTACTGAAGCTTGTCGCTGTTTCACAGGCACATGCAAATTTCAGGTTTGGCATGTTGGGTGTCTATTTACTCGGTGCAACCTCTGTGTGTTTTTTTTTTTTTTTTTTTTTTTTTGTTTTTTTACATATTTTACAAAAATTTGGGTGATTTATTGCCTTTTTGTGCCCTGAAATTAACTTTAGTGTATTTTTTACTGAAATTTAGACCTTTGCTGTAATATCACACGACATAAAAAAATTGGAACTATCACCATTTTATTCTTTAGGGTTTCTGCTTCAGACAATGTTTTGGGGTTTATGCAAATTTCGGGCCTACATTTTTTTTTTTATATATACACGTGTGCAAAAAAACCCACAAAAAACGATGCCGGCAGCGAAAGGGTTAAATGCTTCTTTCTCATTTCTATTTGCTATAGATGGCCGGTACAGAAGTTATGGCACACCGCACATTGTCTCTCCAGAGGGGGACGTAGAACATGACGACATCACAGACGACTCCTCGGATGAAATCCCTATTACCCCAAATCTTCAGCCACCCTTCCCCAGCGCAGATCCGTCCGCTCCAAAGCGCTTTCCATGCTCTGAATGCAAGAAGAGTTTCATCCGAGAGGAAAACCTTCATACGCACCAGCGGATCCACAGGGGGGAGGACCCGTTGTCGTGTTCGGAATGCGGCAAAAGTTTCATTTGGAAGAGGCAACTGGTCATACACCAGAGAAGCCACACCGGAGAGAAGTCGCTTTCCTGTTCCGAGTGCGGGAAGAGCTTCAGCGAAAGGTCCAACCTGGTCAGACACCAGAAGAGTCACTCCACCGAGAGGCCGTTCGCCTGCTCACAGTGCAGCAAATGTTTCACCGACAGAACAAAGCTCAACAACCACCAGAGGACTCACACGGGGGAGAAGCCCTATTCCTGTTCTGAATGTGGGGAGCGGTTCTCGCGCAAGTCGTCTCTTACCAGGCACGAAAAGTTTCACAGGGGGGGGGAGAAACCGTATTCGTGCACGGAATGTGGGAAATGCTTTACCGAACGCGCAAATCTCGTGACGCATTACAGGACTCACACTGGCGATCGTCCGTACTCCTGTTCTAAGTGCGGGAGGGCCTTTAAGCAGAGATCAGACCTGGTTAGGCATGAGAAAGTCCACTTGCGTTATCAATGGCTCTTCTGTTCTGAATGCGGCCAGCAGTTTGCGCTGAAAGACTCCCTTATAGCGCATCTTCGTACGCACCTGCAGCAAGATTTTCCTGAGTCTGCAAATGGCAGTTGAGTTTGGCTAGGCGCAACACAGACCTTTTAAAACTGACTGTTGGTCTACACCTCAAGAGGTCATGTGGTGCTCACAGTACTCATTCTTCACTAATTAACCGCTTTCCGTCAGCCCTATAGCAGAAATACTGCTACAGAGCGGCATGGGTGCGCAAAATCACGTGTGTGTGTGTGTGTGTGTGTGTGTGTGTGTGTGTGTGTATATATATATATGTGTGTATGTATGTGTGTGTGAGGGTTTTTGTGAAAAAAACTAAAATTGTACCTGTGTCCAAATATATATGGACCTAACTGTATATATATGTGTGTACAATGAGATGAATAGTGCCTGGTTGTTGATGTCCGTTGCAGGAATTATGCCCCATTGGTATCAGTGGGAGGGAAAGTGCCCCAGGGGCCAGATAAAGGCAAGCAAAGGGCCGCATCTGGCCCCCAGGCCGCAGTTTGGAGACCACTGGCCTATACCCTTCTTTCATCACAAAGTTTTCTTGCTGTTTAGCTGCTTAAACCCAAACACAGTGAAATGGGCAGGGCTTCCCTTAAAATGAGGTAGCCTAAGACTTTTGGCTCAGGTAGTGCCTCATTTGGTCAAGTGGGGGCAGCAGCCAGCGTGGCATATTGGTTGTGCTTTGTGCCTGTGTGCCACCACCTTCATCTGTATACTACAGGCAAGAAGCTAATGCTCAGCCTGTCTGTACCTAAATCCCAATCCCAGGAATTAAAAAAAATCCACCCTTGCATTGGGGCCTGCAAAGGGTTTAATACTTGTTATGTCTAGGGATACAGTACAGGCTGTAGTCCTTACCTTCTACCCACACTCTGGCCTGCTCTGGCACCCTCCTCCTCTGCCCAAAGCTCTGGTCTGTAGGTGCAGCTTTGGCATCCTCTGGTTTATGGACATAAACCTGTATTTTAGAGGCTGGAGTGTGACCGGAGTATGCCACATCATTTTTTTTTTTGTAGTTAACGGCTGTATTTTTCATTTAAAACCTTTTGGATGAAGGCTTACACATTTAGGGTTACTACCAATATTTTGTTAACATTATGCCATTTGTTAGAAGAACGCCCATTTAAAATGAATGCTCCATTCTAGGGATGCACCGATACCAGTTTTTACCTACGAGTACCAATAATTTTGGTCAAGTACTCATGTTCCACCAGCTCCCATTCCCTCTGTGGACATCAGCGGCTGTAGCTTGGGCTCCTCCTGCCTCTCCCATGCTTCCAGCAGTTCCAGCTATCCACTGGACGCCCATATTTCCCTAATTTCCCCAGCCTCCAGCAGTTCCAGCTATCCACTGGATGCCCATATTTCCCCACATCTCCCCAGCCTCCAGCGGTTCCAGCTATCCACTGGATGCCCATATTCTCCATATTCCCCCAGCCTCCAGCGGTTCCAGCTATCCACTGGACACCCTCCACTGGACGCCCATTGTCCCCATATCCCCCCAGCCTCCAGCCATCCACTGGATGCCTATATTCCCCATATTCCCCCAGCCTCCAGCGGTTCCAGCTAACCACTGGATGCCCATATTCTCCATATCCTTCCAGCGGTTCCAGCTGTCCACTGGACACCCATATTTCCCATATCTCCCCAGCCTCCAGCGGTTCCAGCTATCCACTGGATGCCCATATTCTCCATATCCTCCCAGCCTCCAGCGGTTCCAGCTATCCACTGGACACCCTCCACTGGACGCCTATTGTCCCCATATCCCCCCAGCCTCCAGCTATCCACTGGATGCCCATATTCCCCATATCCCCCCAGCCTTCAGCGGTTCCAGCTATCCACTAAATGCCCTCCACTGGACGCCCATATTCACCATATCCCCCCAGCCTCCAGCTATCCACTGGACACCCATATTCCCCATATCCCCCCAGCCTCCAGCGGTTCCAGCTATCCACTAAATGCCCCCACTGGATGCCCATATTCTCCATATCCCCTCAGCCTCCAGCGGCTCCAGCTATCCACTGGATGCCCATATTCCCCATATCCCCCCAGCCTCCAGCGGTTCCAGCTATCCACAAAATGCCCTCCACTGGACCCCCATATTCTCCATATCCCCCAGCCTCCAGTGGTTCCAGCTATCCACTGGACACCCATATTCCCCATATCCCCCCAGCCTCCAGCGGTTCCAGCTATCCACTAAATGCCCCCACTGGATGCCCATATTCTCCATATCCCCCCAGCCTCCAGCGGCTCCAGCTATCCACTGGATGCCCATATTCCCCATATCCCCCCAGCCTCCAGCGGTTCCAGCTATCCACTAAACACCCTCCATTGGACGCCCATATCCCCCAGCCTCCAGTGGTTCCAGCTATCCACTGGACACCCATATTCCCCATATCCCCCCAGCCTCCAGCTATCCACAGGGTGCCCTTATTTCCCCCCCTGGTACCAGATGTCTGACAGCAGGGGATCACCAAGCAAAAAGCCGCTTCACCGGTCTGGGGATTTTAACTCCAACGGCTTTCTCCCCTCTCCTTGCAGGGCTAGACTGCTTCTGATTGTGATGGTGGTGACCAATTAGAATCCCTATAGCCCAAACTGTCATCCTTGCAAGGGGAGGAGAGAAAGCTGTGGGGGTTTCAAATCCCCAGACTGGTGAAGTGGCTTTTCATCATCTGACAGCGGGGGATCGGCAATCTGGTACAGTGGGACCAGGGGGGATGGGATGGGGGTCCAGTGGATGACTGGAACAATTGGAGACTTGAACCAAAAAGGTATCGGTCTCTGGAGCATTTGCATTTGTCCGAGTTCTTGTGCAAGTACTTGGCATCAGTGCAACCCTACTCCACATCAAATAATATTTAACCATTTGCCCTCCAGAGGATTTTCCCCCCTTCCTGACCAGGCCATTTTTGTGATACGGCGCTATTGCGCGGTCATGCAACACTGCATGTAAATTAAATTTATGTCCTTTTTTTCCCCACAAATAGAGCTTTCTTTTGGTGGTATTTGATTACCTCTGCATTGTTAATTTTTTTGCGCTATAAGCAAAAAAAGACCGTCAATTTAGAAAAAAAAAAATATATTTTTGACTTTTTGCTATAAAACATGTCCAGTAAAAAAATTTTAAAAATCCAATTTCTTCATAAATTTAGGCCAAAATGTATTCTGCTCCATGTCTTTGCCAAAAACAAAAATCCCGATACGTGTAAATGAATTGGTTTACGTGAAAGTTATAGCATCTACAAATGGCGGTATATATACTGGGATTTGTTTATACTAGTAATGGCGGTGATCAGCGACTTATAGCAGGACTGCGGTGGGCATTCTGACACTGAGGGGGAACTGACTTGGTGTCACTTGACACCCCCAGTGACACCAAAACAGTGATCAGTGCTAATAAAAAGCAATGACACTGTACTAATGGCACTGGGCAGGAAGGGGTTAACATCCGGGCAATCAAAGGGTTAACTGTGTGCTGTGTGTGTTTTACTAGGGAGACATGCTGTGCAGAGAGATACAAAGCAGCATGTCCTTGCTGGCAGGGGAGAGGTCTGTGATGTTCACACACAGGTCTCTCCCCTGTCGGCGTTCCCTGACGATCGCCGGGTGTCGGCAGGGAATCTCTGCCCGGGACCCAATGATTGACATCCCTAGCCGCCAATGGCAGCATGGGTAGGGCAGCTTGCACCCCCGACCCAGAAGTGTGTGTGTGTGTGATTTTGCGCAGCCCTGTAGCAGTAGTTCTACTATAGGGCGGCGGGAAAGCGGTTAACAAAACTTGAATTTTCATATTTACAAGTACTGCCCCTTAAAAATAGATGACACCAAAAAGATAGACACTGGACCTTAAACGATCATGGATTACGGGAAGACCGTGAATGTACATTTTAGCTTTATAAAGTAGTAAAGCCTAAGGGTTTATTTTTTAATTTTATTTATTCCAAACCAGTTCAATGGAAATTAAATCCAATGAGGAGAAATTCCTTTTTAATTTTTATATTTATTTCAGTCCTGTATAGTTTTACCACCATTCTCGAAGTGCACTTTTTTTTTTCTTTTTTATGCTTGACCTGGATGGACTTTTGTCTTTTTTTCAGCCAGACTAACTATGTAACTACGAACACGATAATGTTTGCATTGGGGGTCAAAATTGAAACATTTCAGTCTTCCAATCCCCTTCTGTCATTCTATCACTTGATTTGCTTTGATTATCTCGGTTACACCATGGAAGACCTTGAACAAGGATGGAACTCTACTTCCCCAAGAATACCAAAACTCGATGAGCGTACGACATCTGCTGACCAGGAACTCATCTCTTTCTACTGACATGGTCCACCCAGAATCACCATTTGGAAATGGACAGCTACCTGGGACTAAAACTGGATAACTTTGGTTATAAATGAAATACTACAGTCATGTGAAAAATTAAGTACATGTTGAAAAGAAAGAAAGAATTAAAAAAAAAAAAAAAAAAAACATTAAGTAATTGTTGAAAAGAGAATTTATTAAATAAATAAATAAAAATTAAGTAATTGTTGAATTTTTCTATATAATTGAACAGGCAAACACAAGAAAAAAAAAATCACTTTTTTTTGCGAATTATTCAACAAAGTTGAATACATTCAACAAAACTATCTATTGGCACAATGGCGTGCTGTGGAAAATGTAAGTACGCCCTTTAAAAACTGGCATTGCCTCTGTT